CAGGCTAGAGTGCAGTGACGTGATCTCAGCTCACCACAACCTCCACCTCCTGGGTTCAAGTGAGTCTCCTGCCTCATCCTCCTGAGTGGCTGGGATTACAGGCATGCGCCATCATGCCTGGCTAATTGTGTATTTTTAGTAGAGATGGGGTTTCTCCATGTTGGTCAGGCTGGTCACGAACTCCCGACCTTGGGTGATCCCCAGCCTCGGCCTGCCAAAGTGCTGGGATTACAGGTGTGAGCCACTGCGCTGGCTACAGTAGCTTCTTGTCCTCCCCCTCACATGCTTCTCCAACTTGCAGCCAGGGTGAGCTTTGTAGAAAAACCAAATGAGCTTACCATCTCTGTCTTCCCTTAAAATCCTTGGTTTTCTTCCCTTTGCCCTTAGGCTAAAGTCTGTAAACCTTGGTACTTCCTAGGAGGCCCTGTTTGTCTGTTTGGCCCCTGGCTGCCTCTGACTCAGCTCCTGACTCCTCCCTCCTTCCCTTCCTCCCTCCCTCCCTCCCACTTTTCACCCTGTGTTCTAGCTGTATTGGATTTCTTTGTCTGTCTGGCCCTCCCTCTTCTGGATATTGTCACTGCACTCAGCCGAGATCATGCAGTGACACAGCCGAGATCGTGTCACTGCACTCCAGAGCGAAACTCCGTCTCAAAAAACGTTACCAGATCTATCTCATTTAACCATTTTATATTAGAGCAAGAGTTGGGAAACTAAGGCCTGCTGGCTGTTTTTGCATATAAAATTTTCTTGAAACAGGGTCTCACTATTGCCTGTTTTGGAGTGTAGTGGTGCCATCTTAGCTTACTTCAACTTCGACCTCTCAGGCTCAAGTGATCCTCCCACTTCAGCCTCCCAAGTAGCTTGAACTACAGGCACAGACCACCATGCCCGGCTAATTTTTTTTTTTTTTTTAGTTGGAGTCTTGCTCTCACCCAGGCTGGAGTGCAGTGGCACGATCTTGGCTCACTGCAAGCTCTGCCTCCTGGGTTCACGCCATTCTCCTGCCTCAGCCTCCCGAGTAGCTGGGACCACAGGCGCCTGCCACCACGCCCAGCTAATTTTTTGTATTTTTAGTAGAGACGGGGTTTCACCGTATTAGCCAGGATGGTCTCGATCTCCTGACCTCGTGATCCACCCGCCTTGGCCTCCCAAAGTGCTGGGATTACAGGCGTGAGCCATCGCGCTCGACTCGGCTAATTTTTAAATTTTTTTTTGTAGAGACAGGGTCCTGCTATGTTACCCAGGCTGGTCTTGAACTGCTAAGCTCAAGCAGCCCTCTCACCTCGGCCTCCCAAAGTGCTGGGATTACAGGGATGAGCCATCATGCCTGGCCACATATTCTTTTATGGATTGTCTGTGGTTGCTTTTACAAGAGGGATTATATGGCCTGTAATACCTAGACATTTACTGTCTGACTCTTGGCAGAAAACGGTTGTCAACCCTTGGATTAGAACATTTTAAAAAATTATTTCATTATTTGATTTCTTCCTCTGAACTTCAAATGGGGCATAATCTTGAACTTTGTTGATGACTGTACTATAACGGTTGCTGTTTTGTTACTGTATGGGGATGCTGATGGAGCTTATGTAGAAGTTTTTTTCTTCTAGATTTGCTTTTTACTCACTGTAAAGCTTTTATGTCTTATATCTGCCTGCCACCCACAAGTGGATCCTTACCCTTTGCTCTGAATGTGTGGTTTATGACCCTCTATGAGCAAAGGAATGAGATTACTAGGCTTTTCAGAATTAATGTTTAAAGACTAAGAGGTTCAGAGGGAGGCCCTGCAGGGTGAGTGAAGAACAGCCACTATTTGTGTGTAAGAAAGTAAGACGTCCAGCTTGACTATTTAGAGGCCTTCTAGGTGGATCCTTGTCTGTTCAGTTAGCCGAGATCATTGACTGAAGAAAAGGCTTGGGATAAATGTGGTGCTGCTGTATCAGCCTATATCATGTACTGTTGCATAAGTGAAATTATACAAATGGACAATGGCTATGCTCAAGTTTTCAAACTTTTCATCTCATTCTGAGTTTAATGCTCTGATAGTATTCAGGTAGAAAGTCAACTCCAATTCCTTGTGGACATTCACCTTTACACTTTAACATCCTGAACCCTGGCTTTCTGCCAAAATATTTTCTTTCCCAGTGCCTGGAAACTGATTAGCTAGATGGGAGAACAAAGGTGGCTTTGTACTGGGGCATATTGCTTTTGAGAATTTAGCAGAGAGCATTCAAATGGAGTCTGGATGTGATGCCAAATTATGCAGATTTGGGGTTTTTTTGGTTAGGTTTCCCATGAGTAGGTATGTAGGCAACTTAATATTGTTCTCAGTTTGTACGGTCTGGAATTTCCCTTATAAATGTTATGTAGGCTTTCCTTATTGATTGTTTTAAAACAGAAATGTGTATGATTTTGAGAAAACACATTACCAGAAGACTATTCTTGATAGGTTTTTTTGCCAAAAAGATTGTTGTACCAATGAATTTATATCCAAAGCCATATTATAAATACATTTCTGTCTCTGTAAGAGCCCAGTGCAAATACTTTATAAATGATGACAAGTGTCCACAAGGGGGAAAAATGCCAAAAAAATAGGGTACCCCTAACCTTATATATTTATCTGAAACCAGGTTTTGAAAAGTGTTCACACAGCATCAGAAAAGAATACTAAAGCTCCCTGTGCTCTGACATAATTGATACTTGGCATTCATTATTGTGACTTGGAAGATACTAGTCTAGTAAGAAAACCTGGACTCTAGTTCTTTCTCTATAACTTAACGTTGTACCCTTAATTTCTTGGTTATAAAGTGAAGATGATAATAGTTTAGCAATGAGGGGGTTCAGGATTAAGCAAGAGAATATGAATTGAAGCACTATACAAATGCAAGATGGTGAGATTGGTGTTTTCTGTGGCAGCAGTTGGGACTAGGATTTTCAACTATTTCTTTTGTGGAGGAGGGAAGCCATTTATTTTTTGTTTGTTTGTTTGTTTTCTTTTCTTTCTTTTTTTCTTTTTTTTTTTTTTTGCCTAGCCCCTAGAAAACCAGGGAGAGGCATTATTGAAGTTTTTTTTTTTTTTTTAATTCATGTAAATTTCACTTTTTAGTTTATCCTCGTTGTAGTTATTTTTGAAAATACTATTTTAACTTTTGTTTCTGCTGTTAGTTTCATTTTCCCTTTTACCTCTCATTCTCTGATGAAATGTTTTGTTTATAGACTATCTTCCTTCAGCCATATAAATTTAACCATATCTGGTGTTAGGTGTTCTGTTTTCCCTTTTAGTTTATTGTTTAATTAGGTGGCAGTATTTAAAGATGGGAAGATTTTGCCTAAAAGCAAGACTTTCTGGCATGAAGAAAATCTGCCAGGAACTGAGAAGCAGCTATGCCATCTAAATGAGGCAGGAGCTCTCCAGTTTGCCAGAGTCCTACTACTTCCTATTGTCTGTGTCACCACCACTGAGGACAAAATATCATTGCACTTTATGCATAGTTTTTCACACAGTAAAGAAAAAAGTTAAAACTCTACCTTTGCTTCTTTCAAAATGAACATGAGAGATCAAGAATTCCTGCTGGGCAAGTGGCTCACGCCTGTAATCCCAGCACTTTGGGAAGCTGAGGCAGGTGGATCACCTGAGGTCAGGAGTTCAATCAAGACCAACCTGGCCAACATGGTGAAACCCCATCTCTACTGAAAATACAAAAATTAGCTGGGCATGGTGGCACATGCCTGTAATCCCAGCCACTTGGGAGGCTAAGGCAGAAGAATCGCTTGAACCTGGGAGGCGGAGGTTACAGTGAGCTGAGATCATGCCTCTGTACTCCAGCCAGGATGACAGAGCGAGACTCTGTCTCAAACAATAGCAACAAAAAAGAACTCCCCCAGAAAACTGAGGGAGAGTGTTTATCAGCAAAAGACCAAAATTCCTAAGTGTGTGTTTGATATGCACCAGCATCAATTACATTATCTGCCCACTCAGCCTCTGATACTGGTTTATGATTTTACTCTCTTGATTTACTTTGAGAATCAGATATCCCATTTCAAGTCTTTGAGTTGCATATGATAAACATGTAAATTGCAGGCGTGTTTTTGTTTTGTCACCCAGGCTGGAGTGCGGTGATCATAGTGCACTGTAGACCTGAATCCTGGAGTGAAGCCATCCTCCCATCTCAGTCTCCCAAGAAGCCGGGACTACAGGCAGACACTACCACACCTGGCTAATTTTTTTTACTTTTTGTAAAGACAGGGTCTCACGCTGTTGCCCAGGCTGGGCTCAAGTGATCCACCCAACATGGCCTCCCAGAGAAGTACTGGGATTGTAGGCGTGAGGCACCGCGCCCAACCACATTACAAGTTTTTTAAACAAATGAAGGAAAAATGTATTTTAAGAAGCTGGTTTGGCCAGGCGCAGTGGCGCAAGCCTGTAATCCCAGCACTTTGGGAGGCCAAGATGGGCGGATCACGAGGTCAGGAGATCGAGACCATCCTGGCTAACACGGTGAAACCCTGTCTGTACTAAAAATACAAAAAAAATTAGCCAGGCCTGGTAGCACACACCTGTAGTTCCAGCTACTCGGGAGGGTGAGGCAGGAGAATTGCTTGAACCCAGGAGGCAGAGGTTGCTGTGAGCCAAGGTCACGCCACTGCACTCAGCCTGGGCGACAGAGTGAGACCATCTCAAAGAAAAAAAAAAAAAGAATACGTAAGATCTATCATAATTTCATTTGCCATATTTAATGTTTAATAGTGATTGAGCTCTATCAAATTTAACTTCAACATTGGTTTATTTTGTGATGTGTATTTGAGATGGCCACCTAGTGGTTTTTTCTGGTATGGCATTTTACTACTGTACTAGATTATGATCTGATTAGCAAATAAGCTTATTAGCTAGTTTGTTTATATACCAAATATATTTTGAGTTATCCTTTCTGTACAGATTCTGCCGCAAGTGAATAGATATTTTTACAGCATTTCTATAATTATTTTGTTTTATTTTTAAACAGAAGAAGCAGACTACAGTGCCTTTGGTACAGACACGCTAATAAAGAAGAAGAATGTTTTAACCAACGTATTGCGTCCTGACAACCATAGAAAAAAGCCACATATAGTCATTAGTATGCCCCAAGACTTTAGACCTGTGTCTTCTATTATAGACGTGGATATTCTTCCAGAAACACATCGTAGGGTACGTCTTTACAAATATGGCACTGAGAAACCCCTAGGATTCTACATCCGGGATGGCTCCAGTGTCAGGGTAACACCACATGGCTTGGAAAAGGTTCCAGGGATCTTTATATCCAGGCTTGTCCCAGGAGGTCTGGCTCAAAGTACAGGACTATTAGCTGTTAATGATGAAGTTTTAGAAGTTAATGGCATAGAAGTTTCAGGGAAGAGCCTTGATCAAGTAACAGACATGATGATTGCAAATAGCCGTAACCTCATCATAACAGTGAGACCGGCAAACCAGAGGAATAATGTTGTGAGGAACAGTCGGACTTCTGGCAGTTCTGGCCAGTCTACCGATAACAGCCTTCTTGGCTCCCCACAGCACATTGAACCAAGCTGTGAGCCAGAGGATGAAGACAGCGATGAAGATGACATTATCATTGAAGACAATGGAGTGCCACAGCAGATTCCAAAAGCTGTTCCTAATACCGAGAGCCTGGAGTCATTAACACAGATAGAGCTAAGCTTTGAGTCTGGACAGAATGGCTTTATTCCCTCTAATGAAGTGAGCTTAGCACCCATAGCAAGTGGCTCAAACACGGAATTTGAAACACATGCTCCAGATCAAAAACTCTTAGAAGAAGATGGAACAATCATAACATTATGAAACCATTGTTTGAATGTTTTCAGAGTGAGGATGCCATGAGAACTTGTACATTTGGCTAGTTTAAAAGCATATATACCTCTGACCAGTGACGTGGAATAGGCATGAGACGAGTAACGTTGCAAGCTTACAATATTATTAAAGTAGTAGTCTGGTAATTGTTAATATAAACTTTGGTGGATCAGAGGTGAATTTAAGTCCAAAACAAAGGGGCCTTTGCTGATGAAGTTACGTGCTTTTACTTTTTTGTCTGTGGAGAATCAGATGTTAAAGCACATTCTTGGAACTATGCGAGAAGACTAGATCATTTCTGTTGGAAGTGGTTGCATATTTAACCTGCTGTGCAGAGCCCAGTTAATTTTTCCTTTAACTGTATTTTTAAAATTCTAATGTGAAGTCTGATTCTCTCTTTTGGTACACTGGGGACCTCAGCTCTTAAAGGTCTTATGTTCCCAATATTTTATTTTATTTTTTATTTTTTATTTTTTTAGTGACTGGATCTCACTCTGTTGCCCAAGCTGGAGTGCAGTGGCATGATCACAGCTCACTGCAGCCTCAACCTCCTGGGCTCAAGCAATCCTCCCACTTCAGCCTCCTGAGTAGCTGGGACCACAGGCACGTACCATGACACCTGGCTACTTTTTGTATTTTTTGTAGAGACAGAGTTTTGCCATGTTGCCCAAGCTGGTCTTGAACTCCTGGGCTCAAGCAGTCCTGCCTCGGCTTCCCAAAGTGCTAGGATTACAGCCACCATGCCCAGCCTATTTTGATTTTTGTTTTTTTAATGTTCCTCTCTAATAAATTGTAACAAATGATGTTCTCAAGTGCATTTCCAGTTTCTAAGAATCAAACCACGTGGCTGTTTTTAGGAGTTGCTTCCCATGTTATAAAGCTCAGGAAGCTCTCTTTTTTTTTTTTTTTTTTTTTTTTTTTGTCTCTGTCGCCCAGGCTGGAGTGCAGTGGTGCAATCTCAGCTCCCAGATTCAAGCAGTTCTTCTGCCTCAGCCTCCTGAGTAACTGAGATTACAGGTGTGTGCCAACACGTCCGGCTTATTTTTTTGTATTTTTAGTAGAGACGGGGTTTCACCACGTTAGTCAGGCGGATCTCGAATTCCTGACCTCAAATGATCTGCCCATCTCGGCTGCCCAAAGTGCTGGATTGCAGGCATGAGCCACCGTGCCCGGCCAGGAAGCTGTCTTTTCTTGAGTTATGAAACTCTGCAACAGTTGTTCAAGTTGGTGTTTGTCCTTCCTATAGCTTTCATATTTGCAAATTAATTGTGTATGGCTATAATTTATGTTTTAAAAGGCAGTTCTCTTGACTTTGGAAACATGGAAGTCTCTCCTTTAACCTGTTCTTGTTCCCATTCCCAGTCTCATTTGAAATCATTCATTTTGTTGTTAGTGTGTGTATTTTTGTTGGTGTGCTTTTAATGCATTCAAGTATGCATCATTTTGGATAAAAAATGCATCCAAATTAAGAGGTTTTAACACATAGGACAAACTTGTGCACTTTTTATACCAAAAAAAAAAAAAAAAAAAATTGGGTTTTCCTTCATGGGATTTCTAGAAACACTGCCTACAGTTTATGAAAACTACATAGTATTCACCTGTGACAGGTAGTTTATCACTGTTAATTTTATGAGGCTATTTATTACTTTCCAGTGCATCCACTTAGAACAAGCTAAGAGTAAGGCTGCTAACTTTAATTCCTTGCCTGATTTTATTGTACAATGTGCACAAGCACAATGGTATGCTTGTATATAGAAACTAAAAATATTATGAAGTACATAAGTTCCCTATGGCTTATGGAGAGTTATTTATTAATTAACTTTATGGTAGGGCTAGTATGAATATCTTTTTAACAATTGTGTGCTATTAAAACAATGAAGATTCAAATGACTCCGTTTTGAAGGATGTTTTCTCTATATGGTAAAATATATGAAGAAGTCTTGATTACATGAATATCGCTTGACTCAGAATACTTCAATGTATTTTGTTCACATTACCACTAAGCATATTATCAGTAAACTATTAACTGACTACACAACACTATGTAATACGATGTACTTTTTGTTGAGATCACCGAAGTTCTTCCATTTATATACTATTTTTAATGGCATTCCGGCTTTAACATTCTGTGAGTCTTATAAATTTGACTCTTGAATGGCAAAATAATGTTAGTATGTAGAAGGTTAACTTTCATTTATAATATAAGTGGTGCAGGGGTTCAACATTTTAAGTAAAAATATTTTTACACACTACCTCTCTCTTTTTTTTTTTAAAGTTTTAACATCAGAACTTTTGGGGGAAAAACTACTTCAGGGCTTGACTTTTTGTACAAATTTTAACTGAAATACAGATTTATCTTGTACACGTTCATGGAAATGGAAATCAAAGCTGCTAGTGCTTTTTATTTTAATTATCGTGTTAAGGGTATCTGTCAATAGTATTTTCAACTAGATCTCTGACTCTTAAATTATTGGTGAAATAATTGATTACTAGACATACTGTAAAACCAATAGATCCTGGTTATACGATAAAATATCAGCTCATTGGTTGTCTCAATTATTTCAAGTGCACCTTATTAACAAAAGTATCAGTGGATCCAGCATAAAATTTTATAGTACTAAATGTCAAGCCTCACTGTGAATTTTGTTCTGTATCTTAAGTAAATTTATGATAATGTTCTCGAGCTATCAACAAAATATATGTACTTTTGTGAGCTATGAATTTTCTAATTAAATTTTACATGCTATAACATGATTTTTACATGAATGATACTTTGTTTATAACTATCAAATGTCAGTATTTTACTACAATTTTATAAAGTGTACATTATCACTAAATGAACTTTGATTTTAAAAATCAAATTAGCTTTAGTTGTATGTTATTTTTTACAAATAAAGATAGACTTGTATAAAGGCTACTTTCTTGTTTGAAGTTATATGAAAAGCTGCCCACACATACCAGGTGCCCATTATATCATTATATAAAATAGGTAGGGAGAAAAACCCCTGAATTTTTTTTTTTTTTTGAGACGGAGTCTCGCTCTGTCGCCCAGGCTGGAGTGCAGTGGCTGGATCTCAGCTCACTGCAAGCTCCGCCTCCCAGGTTCACGCCATTCTCCTGCCTCAGCCTCCCGACTAGCTGGGACTACAGGCGCCCGCCACCTCGCCCAGCTAGTTTTTTGTATTTTTTAGTAGAGACGGGGTTTCACCGTGTTAGCCAGGATGGTCTGGATCTCCTGACCTCGTGATCCACCCGTCTCGGCCTCCCAAAAACCCCTGAATTTTAACAAGATCCTTGCTTCCTTAACTTTTAATTGGTAAAAGATGAACCCCAAATTGTATGTGCACTTATTGCAACTGTGTATGACCATATGGCTATGGGTTGGAAGGTAACTTGTAAAATGTAGTTAATTCTGATAGTGTGAAAGGTTATGCAAGCTATTGACCCAAAATTTTCTTTAAGACTATTTGAAACTAGTTTGTAATGTGACAGCTTATCTTCTGAAATTCAAATTCACTTATTAATACTATCTATATAGTATGGCCTATGTGGATTGAATTCATTTTATACTGAAAAACTTAAAAGGTCTGAGAACAAGGCCAGGCACGGTGGCTCGTGCTTGTAATCCCAGCACTTCGGGAATCTGAGGCAGGCAGATCACAAGGTCAGGAGTTCGAGACCAGCCTGGCCAACATAGTGAAACACTGTCTCTACTAAAAATTAAAAAAAAAAAATTAGCTGGGCGTGGTGGCACACGCCTGTAATCCCAGCTACCTGGGAGGCTGAGGCAGGAGAATCGCTTGAACCCGGGAGGCGAGGGTTTTGGTGAGCTGAGATCACGTCACTGCACTCCAGCCAGGGCAACAGGGTGAGACTCCGTCTCAAAAAAAAAAAAAAAAGGTCTGAGGAAAACAACAACCCTTCCTGAGCCATTTCTAATCCCAAATTAGCCACCCTGCCACTGGCTTAGTTGATCATTGCACTAACTCTTCTGCCAACAAGTTTAGAGGACAATAGGACAATCCTAATTCCTTCCCTCCAAGTTAAAAACACTGGAAATCCCCTGAGTATAAAGGGAACATCATGCACATAGAACTCTTCACACCTTTGGTTGGGTTGCATTTGGTACCCGATATTCATCTCTGGGTTTTAGGTCCGTGAAACGATGCAGAATTAAAACATCCCTTTCATTCCCAAAAAATGACCCCAATGCAGTTTGCATCCTAGTTTCCAGTGCTGAATAAGAGCCTGACAAATTTGATTTTGAGGGAAAACTAAAGTTACAAAAATTTATCAAAAACCAAACCTCTCTGTCCTGCCTTTAGGTGCTCAAGTGTTTAACAGCAACTGATAGAACCACTTTTGATTGTGTTTCCCTTCTTTTAGTTTGATGCAGGATTTAACTTGGAAGTATGTACACCAGTGACTTGGCAGCTGAGTTCTTCTAAGCACAATTTTGGGAGTGTTTTGCTTTTAAACTTGGAAAGCCTTTGTTTTTATCTTGTGATGATGTATCGTGGTGATGGTGGCTGTTATCTGTAGGGTAAAGCAAAACCCAGTGCCTCCTAGCTATGATCACATAACATGCTACTTAAGTACTGTCAGAAAAGATATTTTGGAAACCAAAATAAGTCTTCATTGCCCAAAGGAAGTATATGTGCAGTCAAATGATTGTCATTGGGTAGATGTCTGGGCATTAGAAGGTAAATATAAAGGAAATTAATCGGTTAAAAGATCCTTAATATGTAGTAATCTACCAAATTCTCCCCTAAAAACAAGACTTAGATAATATTTTAAAAGCTAATGTGTTTATCCAGTTGCTTTACAGCACAATTGTATTTTATAAGTTAATATTAAAATTCAATGGAGTTTGTATTTTATTTACAAGCTATATTTAGGTGTTTTTCCATTTATAAAAGCTCTCTTTTGGGAATGAAGTTCACTCTAAAAGTAGTATTCTCTGTGTAACAGAAAATAAAGAAAATTTAATACCCTTATTATCTAGTTCATTATAATCCCAAGGGATGGATAACAAGATAATACAGTATGAGTATGTAAAGATAACTTTTTAAAAATAATTTTCAATCGTATAAATAATGTGCAAATTCGTTCTCCATATAAAAAAAAAGTACAGAAAAAGCTGAAGTGTTTTGGCAGTACCATGCACATTTATCCACACCGTATTCTGTTACAAAAAGGAATCGTGGCTTAAAATAAGAGTGACTATAATTTATAATCCAAATTGGGACACTTTTGAGAATGAATGGGTTTGCCATGAACTATGCCAGTAGAACAGGCTCAGACCGGATCTGTCTTGGTAGATTGCAATATGGGTCACCCTATTATAGGGGCTCTCAAAATTGTTCTTAAAAAACTGCAATACACAGTGAGAAATGCATTGAACACTATAATCCAGGACACGCACATCTATGTTTTCATATAATAATGAAAAATGCTCTGATTTTCTATTTCACTTGTGTAGGATGTGTATTGGAACATTCCAAAAACAATGTCAGGATGCACTGTTTGAAAAACACTGTGAAGCACTTTACTTTTCACTTGAGATATCTGCCATGGGAAAGACTAGCATATTTTTCCCTAAAGGAGAATAAAGGTACTGTATTATCTGCTTGCTAGCTTTTTTGTTTGTTTGTTTTGAAATAATTTCCAATGTAGAAAAGAGCTGCATGAAAAGCATAACCTTTGTCCAGGTTATATCCACATTTGCTATCTGTGTATTTTTTCCTGAACCGCTTCAGAATTAGTTAAAGAGATTCTCCCCTTTTATCCCCTTTAGACTCAGGCATATATTTTCTAAAAACAAGGACATTCTCTTACATTTTTTATATTTTTTCTTATACAACCCCAATTATCAAATTCAAAAAATTTAACATTGCTACAATATTATCTAATATATAAGCAATACTAGAATCTCATCAACTGACCCAATGATATCCTTTACAGAAATTTTTTTCTTTTATCCAGGATCCAACCCAGAATAAGGCATCACATTGAGTTATCTCATCTCTTTTGGTCCCTTTAATCTGGAGCAGTTCTTCAGCTTTTCTTTGCCTTTCATAATATTGACATTTCTGAACAGTAAAGACAAACTGTTTCATAGACTGTCCCTCATTGGGGTTTGTCTGTTTCCTCATAATTAGATTCAAGTGGCTGGGCGCGGTGGCTCACGCCTGTAATCCCAGCACTTTGGGAGGCCAAGGTGGGTGGATCACTTGAGGTCGGGAGTTCAAAACCCTGCCCAACATGGTGAAACCCCGTCTCTACTAAAAATACAAAAAATGTAGTTGGATGTGGTGGCAGACATCTGTAATCCCAGCTACTTGGGAGGCTGGGGCAGGAGAATCCCTTGAACCCAAGAGGCAGAGGTTGCAGTGAGCCAGGATGGCACCACTGCACTCCATCCTGGATGACAGAGCGAGACTCTGTCTCAAAAAAAAAAAAAAAAAAAAAACAGTTCAAGTTTGCATTTTTATCAGGAATATTACATAGGTGATGTTATATCTTCATTTCACCATGTCAACAGGTACATCATATCAGTTTGATTCAATATTGGTTTATCAGGTGAGAAGTGATTTGGCAAAAATAAAATAAAATATATTGCCAGAGGTGGTGGCTTATGCCTGTAACCCCAGCACTTGGGAGGCTGAGATGGAGGGATCACCTGAGCCTAGGAGTTTGAGAGCAGCCTGGGCAACATAGGGAGACCCTGTCTCTACAGAAAATACAAAAACTAGCTGGGCATGGTGGCATGAACCTGTGGTCCCAGCTACTGAGGAGGCTGAGGTGGGAGGATCGCTTGGGCCCAGGAAGTCAAGGCGACAGTGAGCTGTGAACTATGAGTGCCAGGGCACTCTAGCCTGGGTGACAGAGCAAGACCTATCTCAAAAAATAAATAAGATGTTATAATTATTCTTGTCCTGATTAAAAACATGAATGGGGCCAGGTGCAGTGACTCATACCTGTAATCCTAGCACTTTGAGAGGCTGAGGGGGGCAGATCACTTGAGGTCAGGAGTTCCAGACCAGCCCGGCCAACATGGTGAAACCCTGTCTCTACTTAAAATACAAAAATTAGCTGGGTGTGGTGGCAGCCGTCTGTAATCCCAGCTACTCAGGAGGCTGAGGCAAGAGAATTGCTTGAATTCAGGATGTGGAGGTTGCAGTGAGCCGAGATTGTGCCACTGCACTCCAGCCTGGATGACAGAGCTAGACTCTGTCTCAAAAAAAAAAAAAAAGAGAGAGAGAGAGAAAGGAAAAGAAAACCTGAATGGATCCAGATGAAAGACATGTGTTTTCTATATCCACATGTTCCGCATCTTTGATTGCATTCCTATTGAAGAAACAATAGAAAATGGTGACCTGGCACCAGTATTCTCGAATGTTGTTTGCTTAGCTACATTTCTGAACTCAGTAATGACTTTCTTTGGCATTGGTCTGAATAAAAGGAAAGCACCCAAATGATACCTAAATCTGTGACTAATGGGGCTGGTCAGTAGTCAGAGTGTTCAGAGTGGGAGGCTGTTGCCTTGGGATTCTTTGGGTTGTGAATACACCTAACTCCAATTGACTTCCAACTTAGATACAAAGGAATGGATTAGCTCGTGTAACTGAAAAATCAGGGCTAAGATTTCAGCACAGATCAGACACAGTGCTATCTGATAGAACTTTCTGCTCTGTCCAGAGGGGAGTTACTAGCCCCCATGTGGCTACTGCATACTTGAGGTGTAGCTAGTGCAACTGAAAAACTGGATTTCAAATTACATGTCATTTTAATTAATTTAAATGTTAACAGCCACATGTAGACAGTGGCTACTGTATTATTTTACAGCACAAACTGGAATCCCTCTCCATTTCTTGCTTTTGTTTTTCCCCGTTACCTTTTTTCCCTTAGGCCAAG